CAATTTTTTTTATTAAATTTTCTAACTCGGTGTTACCCGTTGTTGAAAATGTCATAGTATCCTTCTAAAATCTATCAGTTTTACTCTCAACCTCTCAATGACATTCTGCTGCAATGATTTGTATATGACTCCCTCGATCTCTTTTGTTAGTGGCATGCCAACATAGACAACACTGATAAGTGTTTTTCAAACAATGATTGGTTGTTAACGACTTTATATGAAACTTGTCAGACCTTCAACACTGCTACAAGCTTCATTGATTTACCGCAATATGAAAACCAATGGTCTGTTATACCATCAATTAAGTTAGCGGTGATGGGATAAATTATTAGCTTGGGAAAATTTCCTTTTTTGAATACCGCTTCAGATAAAATTTATGAGATATGGATACAAACAGTTTTATAATAGGGTATTTAGGTTATTCAATATTTTAAATTTTTAATCCAATTGTGTAACAACATTATATGAACCAATTCTTCAATCTATTCGATATGTTTGATTTTAATTCTTGGTCAAATTTTATTAAATTCCAATTCATTTGATTAATTAGTTTCTTTCAAATCAATTATTTGAAACAAAATGCCATCCAAGGGGTTATATGAGTAATTTTAAGTACTTATAACATATTTTTTAAAATAGGAAAAATTAGCATTTCTTGTAAAACCAAAAAAAAAAAAAAAAAGAATTCAAGAAATTTGGAAAGAAATACTTATAGATTTTTTGGAGAAAAATGTAACACCCTAATATTACATTTGTATATAATCATGTATTTCGTATATCAAAAAATAGAAATTTACACATTCGGTCTCAAATATACAAAAGCTATATTATAAAATAGCTAACAATTTTTTCCACAAAATCTTTATACAACATATGAATACATATCAAGTATTCAAATACAAAAGAAGATTATGCTAGCTCAAAAATCCATACAAGCATAATATAACACTTCATAATTTCTCCTTCCCCTTGTCCTTTGGTCGGTAAGTTTCTTAGAAGGTAAGAGTTATCTTGCACAACAGAAGAATATGTGTTAGTTTGATACAAAAAAGAGAATTAAAGTGGAGGAAGAGTCAATAAGAGATGAATGGTAAAGATGCTATCAATGTTTTATGGACAAGTGGACAAATGATGATCATTAAGAATGTGAAAGAGAAATAATTCGTTAAATCCAATAAAAATAAACAATGAATGAGACATATAATCTCCAAGCTTAGGAATGGTTGCTTGAACACTTAAATACCATCTTGTGATGTGTGGTGAAATCTCAATGAAAGATGACGATAATCCCTGATTCAAGTTCCGAAATATGAATTATGAGTAGAGATCAAGAAAACTTCAAGAACATCATCATCTATATTCTAGTGAGAGAAATATTATATTGAGAGCTTTATGAAATATGAGCATTTTACTTCTTACGTGTTTAATAACAAAGCTATTTATATCACAAAGGTATTTACACACAAACTATTATAAACTTGAATGCTACAAAATGGACCCTAACAGATGAAAAGTCAAACAATTGATAATAATTCCTTTTCCTTCTTTTTTTTTTGCTATACAAAAAAAAAATATGTTAGGATTAAAAGTTTATGCAACATGACATATATAAGAAACATTAGCGGAAACATTTAGTAGGGAAAATTTATTGATTATTCAGAAACGTGTCACACCCGATAGGAACAACAAATAGATTGTCAAACAGTAGTATAATACCATCTGTAGAAGCAAAAACAAACAACGATAGTCAACAAAAGCAGTTACTCAAACAACATAAACAAATAACAATAGTCAATAGAAGTAGAAATAGATAAAATATCCAATAAAACATATATCAATACCAAGCACATGTGCTTAAAGTTCTTATTCGTTAAATGGTTGAAGCACATAAACGGTCAAACATATAGAGATAATAATAGTCAATAGTATTGAAGTTTGGTACCAAATAAAGAAAATTAGAAAAGTAATAAGCAATATATAACGAATGACCAACTAATTTTTTTGATTTTATTCTCCAATGTAATTAATTAATATATTTTTGGGCTTTTGTTATGTATTAAATTCTTTTTCCCTATTATTAAATGCAACAAATTTTTAGGCTCTCTAATGTATTAATTTTTTTTGGACTACTATTATATATTCAGAAAAAATTGCCCCCCTACTATTTTTGGGCTCTTGGCATGCGTCCATGTCGCCCTCCCCAGAAATGCTTCTGAGGAGAGTTAAGGTGACAAGTGTAAGAAAAGATTTCCACCATCGGATGCACATTATGATAAATGCATCAAGATGCACTGAATCAATCCACATATTAAATAAGATTCATGGATGAGTTTGAGATTAAAGACATCGGATGCACATTATGATATATGCATCAAGATGCACTGAATCAATCTACATATTAAATAAGATTCATGGATGAATTTGAGATTAAAAACGATCATGATCAGTTTAAATTCTTTATTACGTTTATTATATTAACTTCCATTCTTACACGATCTTTTGTATCTATACTATATTATAAAACATTTCGCTAAAACTCTTAAAAACTCTTAAACTCGTTTATCCCTATCCGATTTCATCCTATATTTGAATTCGTGTAACTAACTGCAGATAAACACAATAAAATACAGGATAAACATCTCATTTTAAATATAAAAAATCTAAATTATAATTAGTATAATCATTAAATTCTAACAGAATACTTAATTATTATCTTTATAATTCAAAAATAAATTGTTTTATTATTAAACTTTTAAATTTAATATATATATATATATATATATATATATATACTATATTATAAAGCATTTGACAAAAACTTTTAAAAACGATTTTTTATGCACAAATACTGATAATTGATGCATATTACTTAAAATTTTAGATTACAAGTAAATTGTGCATTAGTACAACTTATTAAAACTTCATACTTGAATTCGTCTAACTAACTGCAGATAAACATAATCAAATATATTAGATAAACATCTCATTTTAAATATAAAAAATCTAAAATATAATTAGGATAATTATTAATAAGTAACAGAATACTTAGTTATTATCTTTATAAAAAATTAT